GCATCTGGTTATCGTGCGGAAGCTTTTTCTCTCAAATCTTTCAATACTTCTTTCTAAAGTGCTGGTTAGAGTCCAGATCTTGCAGCCGTATATGAGAACTGGCTTTATCCTAGCATTGTACGCACTTAATTTGAGATTCCTTGCGATTTTTCGGGATTTCAATACATTTGAAAGAGAGAAGAAAGTTTTGTTTGCGCTTGTTATATGCTGATCAATTTCTGACCATTGGTCATTCATTGAGGGTATTGTAGAGCCGAGATATTCAACTTTGTCTACTTTCAGAAACAATTTCCCTTCTCGACAGATCCTATTATTGGGGTGGAATTTTCAGCTTATTATCATATATTTTATCTTAATTTACTTATAGGCTGATTTGTTCTGCTTCTCTTATCAGAGTCTCAACGAGTTTCTCAATGTCCTATTATTTGCTTCCAAGGACTGCTATATCATCTGCATATTCAAGGATTTTATGATTCATTCCGACGTAATGTTGTTTCTATCACATTCTCCAGAGCTATGTTGAACAAAATCGATGAGAGTCCATCTCCCTGCTGTAAGCCAGCAACTTCGAAGGCTTCAGATACTTTTGCTTTTATTAGAACTTGTATTTGTATTTACTCAACATTTAGGATCATTTTTACATGCCCTCGTCAATCTCACCTTCTTGTCAGGAATTTCAATTATAATCTCACCTTCTTGTCAGGAATTTCAATTATAATTAAAAGAATTTAAATACTAAATACATTTATTTAAAGTAATAAAATACTTTTATTTATACTTATATTTTTAATTTTAAATACATAACTATTATATGAAAAATTAGTTCTTGTCAACTGTTAAACTACTCCATCATTATTAAATGGAGTATTTTTCATTTCAAATTTCTTTAATAGTAGGATACATTATCAGGTTGTTAAAGGTGCAGTTTTAGAAAACAATCAATTCTAACTTTGGGTATCGATAAATTTTAACTTTTTCAATTTAAGGATCCGCTATTAAGTTACCGCAGTAGCATTTTTAGAAAATAATGTATATTTTAAAATGACTTTTTCTTTTATTAATTTATTTTCGGATTTCAACAATATAGGAGTCTACTATTATGTTATCAAAAGCGTACTTTAAGATAATACTATAGCTTATAAGATTATTTTGTGGGATGTCAATTTATACTTATGTTTGTAATTTTAAATAAAGAAATACTTAACCAGAATGTGAAAAATTAATACTTTTCCTCTGTTAAACTACTCCATCATTATTATTATTATTAATATCCAGGTCTATATGTTGGGCTACCAAACGAAAAATCTTCATGAAATTATGGAAGGAGCTAAGTAGCTGTAAAAAATTAATTGTGACAACTTGTTGCCTTGTAAGTCTCTTTGCCGCCACCTTCTTCTTTGTGTTTTGCCATATACAGCTGCAATGAACAAACAGCACTATCGCCAAAAGCAACTGTTTCTTCTGTTTTTAATTGTATCTGTATCTAAAAAATACCTAACACCTATCATGACATTGATTGTGGGAGCTCATTTGAGTGTTTCTATCAGATGGCAGGTCCCGGAATCCATAAAGATGTTCAGAACGGATTTTTTTTTTTTGTTTAAAATACTATTTTGAGTCACCCTGCAAGATCTTAGCTATCAAAATGCATTTTAACCTTTTTATCTAACTTTTAATAAATGGGACATATGTCTTTCTGGCCGCACATGGCAATGCAAAATTAGAGCAGCAATCCCACAACGCTTCGCTTTCTTGTGTATTTGCTCATTTTTGAAAAGGCAAATAACTAAAAATATCATACAAATAATTGTAAGCAATCATAAAAATTAAATTATATTATTTCTAAAAAAAGGACACTGATGGCGGGATTTGAATTATATATTTCTTATTATAATTGAAATAATTTTCTAAATACACTTTATTTTAAAATAAAAAATATATAATAATAATGATTTGTTAAATAGTTTCATGTAAAATTTCTACAAAACTGGATGTTTCTCCGATTTCTTTGTCAAAGGAGTTGATCCGTATTTATAATTGACAAATTTCATGTTTCTAGTTTTAAGATTAACATTTTTATTAAAATAATTGAAGCAATCAGCAGCTTTTTTTGTTTTAAATGTAAATTTTAGGTCTAGAAACATTAAAATTGTCACTTATAAGAATGGATCAATTGCTATGACAGAAATCTGGGAGAAAAAAACAGTTTCGTAAATACTTTACTTTAAAAAAATTTAAAAATCATTATTTTTTTATTTATAAATTGTTTTTATAAAAAGTGTATTTAGTCAATTATTTTTATTAGAATAAATCCCACATCATGAAAAAACAATAAATAGAAGCTTTCATAAAAAATACTTGATTTAAGTAACTAAACATTGCTGCATGTTAAACTATTTAAAGAGGAGTATTGGGCGGATAAACATAGCTAAGTTCCATTTATAAAAATCCATTTTTTTTTTTATTACCCTTCAACTGTACTACATTTACACCACTTTTAGAAAAACTTCTTCATTTAATCTTTAAGTACTTATTAATTAGTTTGAGGTTTAATAGGAAAAATTTTGAGATTTGCCTCAAGTTGTGTAAAGAAATGATTTGAGTTTCTTTCAAGTCACCTAAAATTACCCGTGTTTTCAGCAAAAATGACTACAATTAACTGTTGTAAAGCTTTTGTTTCTTGTTTTTACGCGATCTGAGGTGTATTATAATAAACATACTTGCCTAAACACATTTTATTTATAAAAATACCCCCATACCAGAATGAAATGACTAGAAACCGCCCGACATTTTCGACTACTGCAGCACTTACTAGACAAACGCTCTAAGCTTTCAATCAATTACAAACAACTCATATATATGACAATAATAAGACCTAGTTGGACTTATGGAATTGAGCTTTGGAGCTCCACTAAACCATCGAATTCCTTTTGTATCCAATCCTTACAATCCAAAATCATTCGTAAAATCCTCAATGCTCCTTACTTCGTCACAAATAAAATCATCCATAAAGACCTTAATTCCATTTGGTCCATAAAGACCATGTTTCCGATTTGGCCCAATCCAGATACCTATCCTTCCATAACAAACTGCAGAACCATCCGAATCCTCTCGTTTCAAACCTTGCTTCCTCCTCGATCCCTGATAACCCTCTGAGGCGTCTGAAAAGAAGATGGCCTCGGGACGTTCTAATATAGAACTTTAATTTGAGTTCTACCAATGGGTAGTTTCTCTTCATGTTGTACATGTCACATTTACTTGTTGTATTTTCCATGTAATTCAGTTGTAAATTTCATTAAAATAAAAATTAGAAAAATTTATAAAAATAAAGTTTTTGAAATATTTTTCTTGTAAGGTGGTTATGAAATTATGTTTTTCTCCCAGATTTCTGTCATAGAAATTGATGCGTAATTATAAGTGACAAACTTAATGTTTCTAATCTTAATATTTACGTTTTCATGAAAATTTAAAGGAATAAGTAGGTTTCTTTATTTTAAATGTAAGTTTTAGTAAGAAATATTAAGTTTGTCAATGATAATGCAGATCATTTCCTATGGCAAAAATGTGGGGGGGGGGAACTCAGTTTCATAACTATTTTACATGCAAAATATTTAAAAAAACATTTTTAAATTTTTTATATCTATAAATAAAATGTGCTTTTAGGCAATTATGTTTATTACAATACATTCCGTATCACAGAAAAACAAGAAATAAAAGTTTTGCAACAGTTAATTGTAGTCACATTTGACATAAAAACACGGGTACTTTAAGGTAAGTGGATAGGAACTTAGATCATTTCTTTACCCCAACGTGAGGTGAATCTCAAATTTTTTTCTAATAAACCTCAACTTAAACAATATGGGTTCAAACCTTAGAAAAAAAAGAAAAAATTATAAACATAATTTATTAACATTTATTTGATGCATCAAAAATTTAAATAGAATATAAATAGCACCATGGATATGACACAAATAACGGAGAAAGGACATACCTTGGGTTCAGAATAAATCTGCAACTGATAGCTTCCAAATGGTCAGAATCCAGAACGACCTGAGTCAGCTACAAGGGACTTATGAATGCACGGACCAAGCCACTAATCAAATGATGAAGGCAGGAAGGTATATATCCTGGCCGCACCAGTGACCCAAATCACTGCCGGGAAGGCATATATCCCGTCCGCAGTCAAAGGGTTAATAAAAGGATTATTTTTTTTCATTTATATTTTCTTTGATATTAGGATCAATATTGGGATTGTTGAAAACAGTTTTAGAGAAGGCTATAAATTGAAAAACAAATCAATTTATTTTAACTTTTCAAATTTTTTGGATTAAGTGTCGGAGAAATAGTATTTTTCCAATTTTAAATCATCAATCAATTTTAATTTTTTTATTTTATTCGATCTGAGGTTCCGTTTTTATATTATCCAGGACATTGATTCTAATATTGTATCAATTTTAAGATAACAAATCACATACCAACATATTCACCTTTACAAATTTCTTGAATTTAAGGGATAGTTGATATTTTATCAGGAGCATAGTTTTTGAAAATTCCATCAAGATTTAAGATTGTATCGATTAAAAGACTCCATTATAATGTTTTCGGAAGCCTGCTTATAAAACCCTCGGTTTTAAGATTGGGGAATCGTGTAGTATATATATATATATATATATATATATATATATATATACACATGCATACATAAGTAATAATCAATAGTATTATCTAAAAGTACGCTTTTGATAACATAATAGTAGACTCCTATATTGAAGAAATCTCAGTGGAGAATGTAATATTAAAATTACTTATGCAATATTTTCTTATGTTTTTCACTAAAAGAGTCATAACCACTCTCAACTCAAAATTGTTGATATTTTAAATTTATAATAAAGCATTTAGTAAACACACAAAAATAATAAAAACAAAACAAAATTGTACATATACTATAATATATAAAGTTATAATTATTTGTATGAATTCTTCAATATATAAATACATACTTCAAAATGTTTTTGTATAGTCTTAATTCAGAATAAGTAAGTAAAAATATCTTTGATTACACAAAACAGCCACTATTTTACAATTTTTAACTTGACAAAAGATTGGTTATCAACAAGTGTCATCTTTACTCCAAAGAACAAATTATCCCGATCAAAAAATAAATAGGCGTACATATGTTGGCAGTGTTGCCGCGCGCTCTGTGACAGATCCTCGTACTTCAAACCTCGTACGTTCTCATACACTTGCTCATTGAAAATTCGTACTGTTGTAGGTCCAATTTTATTGTTTGTTTTTTTATCAGAGCTTTGCTTATTACCTATATTCATATATTTTAAAGCCTTTTTACATAATTTTTTTAAGTTAATGGGTCAATAAGTAAAATGAGTTTAATTAAAGGCACTAAATTAAATACATAAACAAGTGAATATATTTTTAGAAACTATTGGAAAACTTTCCATAAAAATTAAAATAGCAAAATGAACTTTTTAAAGGATACAAATTCCAATCATTATTGAAAATAAACACATTATTATGACTTCTTCGAAGTTCGAAACTAGGTAACAAGTAATTCAAAATAATAAATATTAATTCGTTATTATTAATATTACGTAAATTTAAATATATTATTTAAATGAATAATGTAACAATCAAAGTTTTATGAAGGAAATAGTGGATATACTTTTTTATAATTTATACTACATAAAAATCAAAAATCTTTTTTTGATAAAATATTACGGTAACAAATTTTTTTATTTAATTTTGTTCTCTAGAAAATTAAAAAAAAAAAGACATATAATCACAGTTTTATGGTGGGAATAATAATCATACTCTAATTAAAGTAGATATAATTGTAATTTATTTGTCTATGAAGCAACAGAAGTTAAATATTGCATATTAACATAAATAATAACACAGTAAAAATAATTGTAAAGCAAATCTAAACTTCATTCATAAAAATATAACTTTTCATACGTCACACAGTGTAACGACCAATGGACAAAAACCTTAATTTTTAATTTCTTATATTTAATTTTTAATATAAAAAAGAGAAAAGGAAACCGTTTCGATTTTGAGAATTTTAATTTAGAAAAATTAAAAAATCCATTAATTAGAACCCAATTCGAGCTAGATGTCAAGAATAGGTTTGAAGCTTTAGAGATTTCTGACGAGGATCGCGAGGATGTTGACAAGTTATGGATAGAGATTAGGGATAATATTAAAGCGGTCGGGAACACGTGTCTAGGAAAACAAGAATAACAAACCGTGGTTTGATGAAGATTGCTTAAACATGTGCGAAAAAAGAAAAGCCGCTAAATTAAAAGCTCTAAATAATCCTAACCAAGACAATCTAGAATACTTCCGAACATCAAAGAATGAAACGACAAAATTGCTCAAAAATAAAAAACGGGTATATCTTAAGAATATCTTTAAAAAAAATAATTGAAATAGAAACTAACAGAATTGAAAATAACGTAAGAGACATGTACAAAGGTATAAACAGATCACGTAAATGTTTAGGGCCCTTAACGTCTGGAATTAGGGATGAAAATAACAATATTCTGACCGATCCGGTTGACATATTGAATAAGTTTAAGAACCACTTTGACAATATTTTAAATACGGGAAATTATGATGTGTCCTCCTTCTGAGTTCCAGAGTGCTGAACCGTTGATCGAAGAACCGAATAAAGAGGAAGTTGAATAAGCTATCGGAAAAATTAAAATGTTATAAAGCAGCGGGAACGGATAATATTCCTACTGAACTAATTAAGGCATGCGGGGAAGTTGGAGTTTCCAAAATACATTTGTTGGTTAAAAAGATCTGGGAGAACGAGAAATTATCTCAAGAATGGAAAGAATCTATTCTTATTCCGATTCACAAAAAGGGCCCGAGGACGGATTGTAATAACTATCGAGGAATTTCACTCCTTCCGGTTTGTTATAAAATATTCACTTTAATATTAACTAGTAGAATCACGGAATACGCCGAGGAAATTATCGGAGATTACCAATGCAGATTTCGACGGAATCGTTCGATTAATCAAATATTTTCTTTACGGCAAATATTAGAGAAAAAAATAGAGTACAACGGTATTGTTCACCAGATATATACCGATTTCAATAAGGCTTACGATTCTATTAACCACCAGAAACTGTATAATATTCTAATCGAGCAGAGGATTCCAAAAAAAAAAATTAAATCTAGTCAGGCCTGCCACAACAACAACCTCAAACCCAACCTCAAAATCCTCTTCATCCTAATATACCTAACCACCAACAACAAATTCCTCATATTCCTCCTCCTTCAAATGCAACAGATCTCACAAGTTTGTTAGCATCTTTCCTCACCGATTTCAAATCCCTTGTTACTCCACTCATATCACTCCTCACGAATCTCGTATCTCACCTCATCCCTCCTTTGAAAAATCCTTAAATGACTCACATCCCTAAACCCATATCCATTCTCCTTTGGAATGCGAATGGTGTTAGAAATCATACAGACGAACTATCTACTTTACTACTTGACAAGAACATTGATGTGGCACTAATTACTGAAACTCGACTAACCACTAAACAGCACTTCAATATACCACAATACCTGACATATCGTACTGACCACCCTGACGGAAAAGCACATGCCGGTACTGCTGTAATTGTACACCAATCCCTCTCCCATCACCTACTCCCATTACCAATACATGATTTCCTACAGTCCACCGCTATCGTGATAAAAACCTTCTCCTTTCCGGTCACTCTTGCATCAGCGTATTGCCCTCCTAACCGATCCATATCCAATGCCCAATTCAGTTCTCTCCTCGACTCCTTAGGACATCACTTCATCTTGGGTGCAGACCTAAATGCCAAGCACCAACAATGGGGTTCCAGAACCACGAATTCTCGTGGCCGAACCCTGCTGTCTGCACTCAATTCCCAACGTTTTCACCTCCTTTCCCCCAACTCTCCTACCTACTGGCCCACAGATCCCAACCGTAATCCTGATCTTCTAGATTTCTTTATCCACAGCGGCTTAAGTCCCCTCAATTGTTCCATTACACGTCTAAATGAACTTTCCTCTGACCATAGTCCTCTAATCCTTAATGTTTCACTTGAACCTGTTCCCAAACCTTCTCCACCGTCATTCATTAGGGGCCCAGTAAACTGGGACCTTTTCCGCCAAATAATCTCCGATAATATTGATCTCAACATATCCCTCAAAACTCCCGATGACCTTGATAGTGCCGTAAATTCCTTTACTACCACAATCCAACAAGCCGCCTGGACTGCCTCCTTTCCAAAAGACTCCTCCAGAATTCCTATAAAGACCATTCTACCCCAACACCTCCTTAACCTAATCCGCACCAAACGCCGTGCCAGATTATTATGGCAACGATCCCGACATCCTACCGACCGCTGCTCCTATAATTACTACTGCAAACAATTAAAACTGGAATTAGCCACCTTCAGATCACAATCCTTCAACTCCTACCTATCCTCCCTCTCTTCTCGCGACAATTCCCTTTGGAAAACCACAACAAAAATCCTAAATCCTCACCGCATTTCCCATCCTCTCCGACGAGGTGATGGCTCCTGGGCAGCATCTGACGAAGATAAAGCTGAGGAGTTCGCCATTCACCTATCCAATACATTTATTTCACATCCGGAATCCCATCCTGCCCACACCGTAACAGTAGAAGAACTCCTTACATCACCAATCCCACTTTCCTTGCCCCCAAAAGCTATTCATCCTTCCGAAGTAAAATTTCAATTAAAAAAACTAATCCTCCGTAAAGCTCCTGGACATGATCTCCTTACACCTCAAATCCTTCGACAACTTCCATCCAAAGCAGTCATATTCCTTACATATATCTACAATTGTATCCTACGCACCACCCACTTCCCTCTGTTATGGAAACACTCCACTATTATCCTTTTCCCAAAACCAGGAAAACCTCTCAATAGCTCAACATCCTATAGACCAATCAGCCTACTCCCAATCCTTTCAAAAATTTTTGAAAAGATCCTTTTGAAACGAATCCTACCCATTATAGAATCCCAAAATATCCCTTCCCATCAGTTTGGTTTTCGCTCTCAACATTCTACTGTTCAACAAGGACTCCGAGTCGTTGATCATATTTCCTCAGCCCTAGAAAACAAGGAATACTGTTCGGGTGCCTTTCTGGACATTGCACAGGCATTTGACCGGGTATGGCACTCCGGACTGCTCTCCAAGCTTAAAATCCATTTACCTCAGTCCTTGTACCTAGTCCTCCGATCCTACCTCTCTGACCGCTCCTTTCGAGTTCGCTGTGGAACAGAATTTTCCAATATCTACTCCGTTAAAGCCGGTGTTCCCCAAGGCAGCGTCTTGGGTCCCGTGCTTTACATCCTCTTTACTGCTGACATCCCTGTTCATCCCGATACTTTTCTTGCAACATTCGCTGACGACACCGCAATCTTATCATCCAACTCTGATCCCGAAATAGCATCCTTAAATCTCCAAAGTCATCTCACCTTGATTGAGCACTGGTGTAATAACTGGCGCATTAAAGTTAATGAAACTAAATGCCAACACATTACTTTTACACTCCGACGCAATTCCTGTCCACCAGTACTCTTTAATTCCATCCAGCTTCCTTATTCAGACACAGTCCGGTATCTTGGCTTTCATTTAGACCGAAGACTAACTTGGAACCCGCATACTAGACTCAAAAGACAAGAACTCAACCGACGATACGGCCAACTATACCGACTACTAAGCAGAAAATCTAAACTTTCCATTGAAAACAAGCTACTGATCTACAAGACAATACTGAAACCTATTTGGACTTACGGACTAGAACTGTGGGGATCAGCAAAATTTTCTAACATCAAGCGCATCCAATCCTTCCAGTCTAAAGTCCTTCGAACAATAGTCGATGCTCCTTTCTATGTATCCAACAAAACCCTACATCATGACCTTAACATCCCATTTGTCCTAGACCTTATCCCAGAAAAGTTCTCCAAATTTCACCAGAACCTTACTTACCACCCAAATCCTCTTGCACAATCCCTATCAAGCATCTCCCATCCCTATAATCCTCCAAGAAGGTTGAAACGGCAGTGGCCTCGCGACCTTTTGTAAATTATATAAATTGGAGTTCTGGCAATGGCCAGATTCTTCACTCAAGACATGTGTGTAT